TTTCCCTAGGGTATAAAATATATCCAAATACATTTGCAAATTTGAAAGGCCAGCAGGATATCGCTTGCAATTATGGCAAACCTTTGCATAAGCCGTTTAAAATCAAGCACACCATTGTTTTTCTTGTGAAATTCCCAATAAGTTTATTAAGGTGTATGCATATAAATGGCCCACCCTGTGTGTGTGCGTATATATACATATACATATACATACATATATACATACATACATACATACATACATACATACATACATACATACATACATACATGTATATATATATATATATATATATATATATATATATATATATATATATATATATATATATATATATATATATATATATATATATATATATATATATATATACACACACACACATACATACACATACATACACATATTTACATATATATACACACACACATATACACACATATATACACACACACACACACACACACACACACACACACACACACACACACACACACACACATATATATATATATATATATATATATATATATATATATATATATATATATATATATATATATATATATATATATTATGAGTATTATATAGTACTAGTATTAGTATCATTCGATATCCCTGCACTGTATAAACAACAAAAATCTACTGTTGGGGTACAAACAAAAATGACTGACTTTGAAAACGTTATTAAAACATACAGGCAAACATGTTCTTATTAACAAAGGCGTTCATATAGGACACCCTCGAAACAATTAAGAGTAACATATTTATTGCAATTATTTATTAAATAACGCCAATGAAAAATGGATAAATCTTGGAAAATAGAAAAACTAATTAAATGCTTTTGAAATTAAAAGAATGGAAGATTTAAATTTGCATCATCAGTACAAGATCCAAGATTAAACAGTGAAGTCAAAATGATTCGCCCTCCTGTGATTTTTTTTCCCCCAAATATTTGCCAAATGACGTTTTATGCTTTTTTTATTCTTGAGAAAGTCTTAGTTGATTTATTTTGGCTAGAATAAAAGCAGTTTTTAAAACTATTTTAAGGTCAATATTATTGGCCCCCTTAATCTATATATATTTTTAATAGTCTACAGAACAAACCATCATCATACAATAATTTGCTTACTTACCCTAACCCACCTACTTATACAAGTTAAGCTTTTAAATGTCACTTTAAGCTGAATACTAGTATCTTGAAAAATATCTAGCCAAGTATTATTTACTGTCATCATGGCAAAGATAAAATAAATCAGTTATTAGAAATGAGCTATTAAAACTATTACGTTTAGAAATGTGTTGAAAAAAAAATCTACTTTTCATTAAACAAAAATTGGGGGAAAAAGTAAACAGGGGGGCTAATAATTCTGACTTCAACTGTATACGAATCAGCATCCTTCAAGAGCATGGCTTTAATAAAGCATGTTTTATTTATTATGTTCGTCAGACTACATGACAGAAGCAGCACGAGTGAAAAGTTCAGCAGCCGCAGTCGTGTGTGATCACTTGTGTTTATTGAGGCTGAAGGCAAATGAACGGAAAGAGAGGGGGGAATCAGGAATTGTTGAACCAAGTCAGTTTGAACTTCAGTATTTTGAGCAGAAGCCTTGGGGTTATTTTTAGTCCTACTTTGATGCATATTTGGTGTTGAAACATTTGTGACTGTAAACACAGACAAAACAGAGATGATGAAAAATATCTGCCAAAACATCCTAATTCAAGCCATGTTACCAGGGCAACAAAGTCATATATGTCAAAAGCATTTCCCCCAAAAACTGTTTTCTTTTTTTAGTGAAATAAATAAATAAAAGCTGGTTGTTTATGATGCCTGATTTAGGCTGTGTTTACCGTTTAAGCGTCTACACAGGCAGCTTCTTGACCAAAATAAAATTTCATGAGGGACTTTTAGCAAAATGTATGTTTTTTATTATTATTTTTTTAATGATGAAAGGCTGCAATCGATTGTTCAATAGGTCTCATGAAATTAAGGGTGCACATCTGTCCAGCGATGTAAAGTAACAAATTACAAATACTCAAATTGCAGTAATCGAGTGGTTTTTCTAAGGAGTTGTAGTTTCCTAAGTACTTATAAAAAGTGTACTTTTACTTTCCCTTGAGTACATTTTTAGTGCTGTATCGGTACTTTTACTCCACCATTTTTCTTCAACCTGCAGTCACTACTTTATTTCTTTTTTTGTCTATGGTGATTGGCTAAAGTAGAAAAATCAGTCCTGCGATTCCTGTCCAATCAAAGCACACATAGAAAGTAATCGCATCATGCTGATCAACCCCAAGACATGGATGCTTTAGAAATGCAGCAATAGAAATGTCCAAGAATATGTACAAAATCTTGACACACAATGACCCAGAGACTTTTTATAGGCTGCATGTCACTAATGAAAAAAATGAAGGATGTTGACTGTATGGTGACTGAAATCATTTAACAGTCTTAAACAATAATCAAACGGAACAAATAAAGAATGGAAGGAAGGGCCAAATGAAGGAAGGGCTGAACAAGGAATGGAAAGAAGAACCAAACGAAGGAATGACCGAACCAATGAAAGAAGTACCAAATGAATTAGGGAGGATTCAAGGAAGGACTGAACAAGCTAAGTAGGTAAGGAAGGAAGGAAGGAAGGACCTAATGAAGGAGTAAAATATATAAACAAATAAACTAACTAACGAAGAGAGGAATGAAGGATTGGACCAAATAAATGAAGGAAGGATTCAAGGAAGGACTGAACAAACTAAGTAAGTAAGGAAGGAAGGAAGGAAGTAGGGAAGGAAGGAAGGAATGACCTAATGAAGGAACAAAGGAAGGAAGGAAGGAAGGAAGGAATGACCTAATGATGGAACAAAGGAAGGAAGGAAGGAGGGAGGGACTTAACAAACAAAAGATCTAATGAAGGAAAAAACTAAATATGAATGAACGAACAATCTAATGAAGAGAGGAATGAAGGAACGAAGAAATGAACAAACAAACGATAGAACAAACAACCAAAAGAAGCAAAAAAACTAAATATGAACGAACAAACAAACTAATAAAGGAAGGAATCAAGGAAGGACCAAATGAATGAAGCAAGGATCCAAGGAAGGACTGAACAAACTAAGTAAGGAAGGAAGGAAGGAAGTAGGGAAGGAAGGAATGACCTAATGAAGGAACAAAGGAAGGAAGGAAGGAAGGAATGACCTAATGATGGAACAAAGGAAGGAAGGAAGGAGGGAGGGACTTAACAAACAAAAGATCTAATGAAGGAAAAAACTAAATATGAATGAACGAACAATCTAATGAAGGGAGGAATGAAGGAACGAAGAAATGAACAAACAAACGATAGAACAAACAACCAAAAGAAGCAAAAAACTAAATATGAACGAACAAACAAACTAATAAAGGAAGGAATCAAGGAAGGACCAAATGAATGAAGCAAGGATCCAAGGAAGGACTGAACAAACTAAGGAAGTTAGTAAGTAAGCAAGTAAGAAAGGAAGAAAGGAAGGAATGAAGGAAAGAAAGAAGGAACGAATGAACAAACAAAAATCTGACAGACGAACAAACAAACTAATGAAGGGAAGAATGAAGGAAGGACCAAATGAATGAAGCAAGGATTCAAAGAAGAACTGAACAAACTAAGGAAGTAAGTAAGCAAATAAGGACGGAAGTAAGGAAACAACGAAGGAAATAAACTATGGGATGTGGAGGAAAATTATTTGTCGACAGCGCTTAACCAACAATTTTAAACAAAGAGAGAGAGGGAAAAACATTAGCTGATGGATTCTTGGTAATATTTCTGGGAGATGACCATGTCGCAGTTTAGCTAAATTAATTCCCACCTCCTTCTGAAGTGACGTGCAATGCGCCTTCGCCATTTGCAATGCAATAAAACAGTATTTTCCAGACCAAATGAACTAAACCACAGATGTGAAAGCATCCTCAAAGTTTTCTAGATGTTAGTTTCAGTCTGTTAGCTTTAATGGGAGTTCACACCAACATTCTGAGTTTACTCCCTTCATTTGAGCATTAAATTTGCTTAATTCGTGTGTCAAATTCACTTCACAATAGACACAGATTTGCATCATGGGCAGGGCATTTGTCTGCCTGGTGACTCCAGTTTCATTGCTAAATGGCTAACATGGATTATATTGAGAGATTAGCTTTGCTTAATATGCTTTAGGAAGTCTAAAAAACAGCATAGATTTGTTCGGCGCTGTGTCGGAGTCCACTAGATCCTTTCTGAGGTGCACCCAGCTCTGTGCGTTTATTAACTCCTCCAGAAACTATACCTGGATTATAGAGGGTTTCAGCGGTGCTTCTGAATGAGCCGAGTCCAGTTTGATGAGCTGTTGTTCCATGTCAGCAGCAGACTTTCTCTTTGAGACACCAACAACAGGACCTACATCAAAATCACGGCCATACTAGAGCAAGCTCCTGATTGGTTAACAGGACACAAATGTCTGCTAAAGTTCAGATTTTTTAACTCGAGCGAATCGCGTAATTTGAGCCACCTCATCTTCGCGAATTGCATCATTTGGGCCACCTCATTCACGTGAATTGCACAGCAGGATGTCTATTCGCGTCTTTGCTTTGACTTAACATGTAAATTACTCAAGCTTGACGCTTCATCCGCATCTAGTGAGAATATCTATTAGTTAGTAGATAAAAAATGGTTGGTACATTAAGGCGGAAGTGACAAACTGCAATCTAAACTCAAATTGTGTCCCTGATTAAGACAATTCAAAGCCTGTGTTATTTAGCAGTTGTTATCTTGGAAAAACATACCTTGAAATCTTGTGACTGCCAAATCAGAATCAAGCAAAGCCGAGCAATAAGCAAAGTTCACAAACCCTGCTGTATTTTCTAATCTGATCTAAAGAACACATATCTCCATCTTGTGCAGACCAAAGCAACTATGACTGTTGTGTGAAGTCTTGAAGGCATCAACAGAGCAACCTGATGCGGTGCTATGAACCAAAAGCTGAAAACAAAACCGGTGTCCTACCGAGCACATTTCCCGAGGGAACTTCATCCAGCTCCTCCAGCTCACGACCCATCAGCAGGTAGAGACTGTCCACCGTACAGTAGGACATGTGCGGGATGCTGGGTAAAACATCAGATACTGAACAACCCTCAGGCAACTGAAGGAGAAGATGATCAACAAAAACACCACGTCAGCATTTTAAGTCATGGTGAATGACAGTATTTGAGAAATTCCATGCAAATGTCAACCTTGCTATGAAGTTTTCCCCAAAATAGTGATACCATTTCTACGTTTTTTTGTGTAGGCTTGTGTTTTACAGTACTGAAAAATGTCTGGCAATTAGTATTCAAACTATTATATTTGATTTACCAAAGTCACACAAGTGGCAATTTTACATTTCACATCCATTATTAAGTTATTTCTTCATAAATGCAAAATTGTTCTGTTCTGTAGTGAGCCAACTAGTGTTCAGACATAAACTCCAGATGTGCATGAACGGCGGAAGAAAGAGGTTCATGTTCTGAGACTTTGTGTGTGATTTTCTTTTTTTATATACACGATTATGCAGTTGAACTGTTGTATAAATGCAATATCACATTAGTAACAGTGCGATATGGCTGTATACTCGTGTGACATACATACATACATACATATATACACACACTCACACACACACACACACACACACACACACGTATGTATATATATATATATATATATATATATATATATATATATATATATATATATATATATATATATATAAATCCATATTTTTTATTTGTTATTGTTACAGCCTTATTACAAAAATGGATAAAATTCATTTATTTCCTTAAAATTCTACACACAATACCCCATAATGGCAATGTGAAAAAAAGAGTTTTTGAAATTGTTGCAGATTTATTGAAAACAAAAAACCTGAAAAAAATCACATGTACATACGTATTGCCAGCCTTTGCTCAATACTTTCTTGATGCACCTTTGGCAGCAATTACAGCCTCAAGTCTTTTTGAACATGATGCCACAAGCTTGGCACACCTGTCTTTGGCAATTTTTGCTCATTCCTTTTTGCAGTACCTCTCAAGCTCTATTAGGTTGGATGGGAAGTGACAGAGTACAGCCATTTTCAGATCTCTCCGGAGATGTTTAACAGGATTTAGGTCTGGGCTCTAGCTGGGCCAACCAAGGAAATTCAACCAAGTTGTGAAGCCACTCCATTGATATTTTAACGGTGTGCTTTGGGTCATTGTCCTGCTGGAAGATGAACCGTCGCCCCAGTCTGAGGTCAAGAGAAATCTCTAAAGCAGGTTTTCATTCAGGATGTCTCTGTACATCGCTGCATTCATCTTTCCCTCTATCCTGACTAGTCTTCCAGTTCCTGCTGCTGAAAAACATCCCCACAGCATGATGCTGCCACCACCATGCCTTACTGTAGGGATGCTATTAGCCTGGGGATGAGCTGTGCTTGGTTTTCTCCAAACGTAACACCTGGCATTCACTCCAAACAGTTCAATTTTAGTCTCATCAGACCAGAGAATTGTGTTTCTTATGGTCTGAAAGTCCTTCAGATGCCTTTTGTGGCTTCAGTCTGGCCACTCTTCCATACAGGCTTGATTGGTGGATTGCTGCACAGATGGTTGTCCTCCTGTAAGGTTCTCCTCCCTCCATAGAAGAATGCTGGAACTTAGACAGAGTGACCATCTTGTTATTGATCACCTCCCTGACTAAGGCCCTTCTCCCCTGATCACTCAGCTTAGATGGCCGGCCAGCACTAGGAAGAGTCCTAGTGGTTCCAAACCTCTTCCACTTACGGATGATGGAGGCCACTGTGCTCACTGGAACTTTCAGAGCAACAGAAATTTTTCTGTAACCTTCCCTAGCCTTGTGCCTCGAGACAATCCTGTCTCGGATGTCTTCATGCTTGAGTTGTGCTTTGACATGCTCTGTCAATCCTGGGACCTTATATAGACAGGTGTATGCCTTTTCAAATCATGTCCAATCAGCTGAATTGACCACAGGTGAACTCCAATTAAGCTGCTGAAACATCTCAAGAATGATCAGTGGAAACAGAATGTACCTGAGCTCAATTTAGAGCTTCACGGCTAAGACTGTCAATACTGATGTACATGTGATTTTCAGTTTTTTTTTATTTTTTTTTATAAATTTGCAACAATTTCAAAAAAATCTTTTTTTTTCACATTTTCATTATGGGCTATTGTGTGTAGAATTTAGAGAAAATAAATGAATTAAATACATTTTGGAATAAGGCTGTAACATAAAAATGTGGAAAGTGAAGCGATATGGATACTCTCTGGATGCACTATATATATATATATATATATATATATATATATATATATATAATTTTTTTCCCAATAGTGCAGCAACATTAGATGAATACGCATGTTGAAACAGTGCATTGCAGCCAGATCTCCTTCTGTTTAAGTGAATGCTACCTCTCTTAATTGGAAATCGTTGTTAATGACCGATGAGGCTGAAGTTTTATGCAAATTCGTCTCAGAGTCTTCAATGAATGCCTCAATTGTACGAGTCTGTTAATAGTTTCTGGGTAATAATGTAATAATTAGATCCAGACAGCTTCAAACATGGGGAAATTAATTGGAAACGAACCCGAACGAGGCAGTTCATTTACCCCAGCTCAAGTTCAGCTGGGTTAAGGATTATTAATTGTGTGATGATTACATTATGAATAACATTAATTGATGGATTATGAAGACAGACTCACGGCTCTGAGCGCCAGCGATGGGTCGTATTTTGGTCCGAGCACAAACACTTTCTGGCCTTTTCGGACCACGCCGCTGTAAACTCGGGCAAACGCCACAAAATGCTCTTTGTTTTCCTCCTCAACTGTAGTTTTGACAGAAAGAGCCTCGGTCTGCGCACACAGAGCATCTGCAACACACAAGTACACAAAATGCAGTTATGTATACAGTACTAAAATAAAATATAAATATATATTTAGAAACACATGCAAAAATATAAACATATTATTTCAGAAACTATAAAATAGATCGTTAACTTATTAAACGGAATTTATGTATTACATTATTATAATTATTACATTATATTTAGATGTTTAGTTAACAGTTTTACATTTTTTTTATTGTTCAATAATACATTTATTTAATAAAACATGTACATACATACTTTATATACATACTTTATATATTTTATTAATGTTTATTAATGTATTATTATTATTATTATACATTTATTCATTTTCTTTTCAGCTACGTCCCTTTATTAATCAGGGGTTACCACAGCAGAATGAACCGCCAAATATCCAGCATATGTTTTACACAGGGGATGCCCTTTCAGCCGCAACCCAACTCTGAGAAACACCCATACACTCTTACATTTACACACACTACGGCCAGTTTAGCTTATTCAATTCACCTAGAGCGCATGTCTTTGGACTGTGGGGGAAACCGGAGCACCCGAAGGAAACACATGCCAACACAGGGAGAACATGCAAACTCTACCCAGAAATGCCAACTGACCCAACGGGGGCTCAAACCAGTGACCTTCTTGCTGTGAGGCGATTGTGCTACCCACTGCGCCACCGTTTTAATATTAAAACTTTAAGCAGAATAATAAGTATATTGCAATAACACTGACATTTTAAAAAATATAATAGAGCAACTAATAATACATTCATTTCATAGTAAAATTAGATCTATAAGACTATTTTAATAATAATAATAACATAATAAAATATATTCAACATATTATAATTTATAATGGTTAAATTATTATTAGTTAATTATAAAAAAAATATGTTATATTCCTAAATATATTTATTCATAATGAGTTTCTTAAATATGCTATATATTATATTGTGAGTATTAGTATTTATAAAAAAATTATTAATACAAATATATAATGTTAACACATAGCACAAGTAATAAAAGTGTAATAAAAGTGAAGTTTCAAAGTGAAGTAAATAAATAGCAAATGCTGCGTATAACTAATTAAACTTACAGCCTGCATATCTGACACTAGGGCTGGGCGATATGGCCTTTTTAAAAAAATCCCAGATTTTTTCACAAAAAAATAAATCAATTTACAATATATGAACGCCTTTACGGGAGGTCAGCAAACAGCAATGTTGGATGCCAACATTAGATCGGTAACTGTTTCCTTCATATGCGTTTCAAATGTGAGCTCTGAATTATGCTGTGTTTTGGCGGGCGTGTTTGTGCGTCCGTGTTGTTGCCTTGCCTCATTGGACTGGCTTCCTATAAAATTCAAAGTTGATTTTAAAATCCTTCTTTTCACTTAAAAAGCATTGCACAATTCTGCCTAGCCTAAGTCAGTGAAGTTATTAGGCTATATACAGCTTGTAGACCATTAGGGTACCATGATCAGTTTCTTGTGTCTATCCCTCAGTTTTGCTGCAAATCAAAAGGTGATCGAGCTTTCTGTGTTGCGGCCCTGGAACAATCTCCCTCTATGTATATATATATATATATATGTATGTATATATATATATGTATATATATATATATATATATATATATATATATATATATATATATATATATCCTTTTCTTACATTTATAAATACTATTTTTTTTATCATTTTATTTTATTGTAAAGCACTTTGGATCAACTAAGATTGTGTAAAATTGTGCACTATAAATAAAGTTTGCCTTGCCTTGTTTTTTTATTTCATTTCAAAGAGCACAACATTTCCGAGTTCTTCCTCTGCTTGCTGCATGTTGTTTGTGTGTTTCTATGACAATGTGGGCGGAACTATGAGAGCACACATAGGAGTGTCACATGTTAGATTAAAAACCAATTATCATTCAAACAAATTGATGAGAACTTCACACCCGAGTTAATCAATAAAATTGATTTTTCGCCAAGCCCGGTCTAACACTACCCCAATAATAATATTGCTATAATTTCAATATATCATGCAGCCCTATTTCAAAGTAAGTAAAGCTTTTTAAGTCAGCGTGAAATCAAAATGTACAATGTCTATTTTACTAGCTAACATTGTTATTCTTTAGGTGAACAATTCATCTGCGCAAGTTATACTACTGGAAAAAAAAAGGTTGCTTTAGTAATCTTTATTCAAATTCTGACAGTTTGCCTCTGTGTTTGGACTGGCAGTCCTTCTCTGATTATGTCAGTTTGACGGTTTAGTCACAATATTCTTAGTCTGGCCCCTATAACAGTTAGTTTGCTATGAGGGAATTATTTACAAAAAGTAAGCCCCGCCCCCTACTTAATATTCCGTTTCAGTTGGAGGTACATAAACATACTGAAATAAATGACTCTGCCTGTGTGCAAAACCGCCTATTACTCAGTAGGTACTGCATTTACTACTCAACCATTACAAAAAACGTTCTATACATCATGAATGCGATTAGTATATATGAAACCTGGACGTACTACATCTGCCACTTTTGTCATCATCACATGACCTACTTGTGTCAGTTGCGTCTCTTTACTCCTATTCATCGATTCTCTCGCGGTGCATCATAGGATAGTGTGGCATGGATTGATTCGCACTTCAGAATCTCGCCAGAAGTAGTAGGTCATCCGGGCACTTCTCATATACTGTTTATCGATATTCATGAATTTGGACACACTACTCCGCTCCATACTGTTTTTAGCACACTATATAATATGAAAGTACACGATTTTGACCTCAGCTTCAGCAACTTTCTGGTTCATGCGACTGCAGGTGCAGCTGAAGTATGAAACAGACATACACTATCAGGTTGCTTTATGCCGAGTTCAGACTGCACGATTTTCAAAGTAGTCGTGTCACAGATATTTTCACACTGCTTGACTATCTGGGTTAGCGTTTCGTCGCTGCTTTGTTTACACTGCAAGATGAATCGGCGACAGGGACATTCACATTGCATGATTTTACTATAGGAAGAATCGCCGACAACTTCGTCCAAACTACGTCTCACAGCCAAAAACACGTAGTATATCTTTTGTTATTAACTACATAATGAGAAAGAAGCCTTTAATGAGGTAGAAAATGTACATATTTGCTCACCTGGGTTTAAAGGGAATTAGCCATTTCTCCTCAACATTGATAATAAACTAATTTCTTTCTGTATGAAACGTCAAACAGACACGGTTGCTCCTGAGTCCTGTCAAACCTCCACTAGTTTTTCCTCCATTTCGTGGGTCCAAATAAACCGAAAAAGAGCGCTTTTAACTTCTTCCCAAGCCTCCCGCTGGCCTGCAGCAGGTATACACACACGCACACACAAGTGAAAGCTGCTCTCTCATTGGCTGTAGACGATCGCTGATGTTATTTACAGTCAAAACTCAATTCACACGGTATGATTTGAATCGCCAACAGCTCCAGATATTTAGCACGCCAAATATCTCGCAGGCATCGGCGATTCTCTACGATCGCGTCTTTGAAAGTTCATACTGTGTGATTGTCACTCACGTGCACGAGCAGCGATTTGCCTGTGATTTCAGGCATTTGTCTGCGATTTCTCAAAACCTGTCGGCGAGCCAAAATCAGGGCTAAAATCACACAGTCTGAACTAGGCATTAGTTAAAAACATAAACTCAACCACAGCGATTTTCCTCACTCAATTTCACACACTGATCATTAAAAAGGTCTTATTCTTGCCTGTGACACCTGCTGCGGCTGGGGCTGGGATTGAATCTCCTCCTGCATCACCAGACGCGAGGCTCTCTGCACTCTGATTGGCTGCTTGTTTCTCTGCGTGCCGCTGTCGGGCCAGTTCTCTTCTCTGGGAGATTTCCTCATGAGTCAGCGGTCTGAATAAACAACACAACACAAACTATTAACAGCGTCACAAATTTATACCTTCCAGCGATACCTTTAAAATAACCACACTCAATTTAATTTTCCATAACATGAAGAAATATTGGCAGGGCAATCCCTCACATTTATCTGCCGGAGTTAAAAAAAAAAAAAAAAGGAAAAAAATAACAATAAAACAAATAAAAAAAAAAGAAAATAAATATTTAGAAAAATTTTAAAAATAAATAAATGTAAAATATTTTCTTAATTCATTCATTCTTTCATTTTCTTCCAGCTTAGTCCCTTTATTAATCTGGGGTCGCCACAACGGAATGAACCACCAACTTATCCAGCATATGTTTTATGCATTGGATGCCCTTCCAGCTGCAACCCATCACTATAGACAATTTAGCTAACCCAATTTACCTATAGCGCATGTCTTTGGACTGCGGGGGAAACTGGAGCACATGGAGGGAACCCACGCCAACACGGGGAGAACATGCAAACTCCATACAGAAATGCTAACTGGCCCAGCCGGGACTTGAACCAGTGACCTTCTTACTGCGAAGCGTCAGTGCTAACCACTAAGCCACCATGCCACCCCTTGTTCCTCCACCTTTCACAAAATATTTTGATGTATGAAGTTTATGAAGAAATATATGAAGAGACTTTTAACAAGCACAATACAATTAGTTTCTGGAGACAATCAACTATTGCACCTTTAAGACTAGCAATGTGCGCTAGCAAAATAAACGTTGTAAATTAGCATTTCATGCAGGTTCTAAAAGATCAGATTTGTTTTAACTACAAAAAATGATATCTTGAGTGTGATTAAAGTCTCACTAAGAGAAAGTAAAGGGACAAAGTGTACCTTGCTGATGGAAAGTTCTGGCTAGTCATAAACAAAGCTTGTTATGATGATTTGAGAGAACACGGCCATGCTGAAATATTCCACTTTGGGGTTCATAAATTACATTAGAAGTAGGATACAGTCCAAACCTCAAACTCTCCACTTTAAAAGAGATTATATTTTTAAAATCATAACACATAATACCAAGTTACAAAATCTAGCATTAAATAAGCTGATTTGGGTCTTAATTACACTCAATAGATTTTGGACTTCCGCTCCATTAGAGCTTCAATCAGTCGAGTGGCTCAAGTGTTTCATTTCAGTGCTTCTGCGAATCCTCGTGTTTTCCTTTTTAAAGGTTGAACGTGTCGCTTATTGGCAATAATGGAAACAGCATGAATCTGCTTTACAAGCTCGGCCACTGCGGTCATGAAGTAATGGCTGCTGAAGCTCACCGAGAAGACTTTAAAAACCACAAGCTGGATTGTTTCTTAATGCTCTCAAAAGGGAGAAAAAAAACGATAGAGGAATGGAAATATGAATAGTTTCTAAATCTGTACACACAAAACACATAATCTACTTGCAAAACACACTTCATCAGTTTGGTCACAATGCAAGACGTTAAAGTACTTATGTTTAAGTACTTAGTGTGTGTGTGTGTGTGTGTGTGTGTGTGTGTGTGTGTGTGTGTGTGTGTGTGTGTGTGTGTGTGTGTGTGTGTGTGTGTGTGTGTGTGTGTGTGTGTGTCTGTATATATATATATACAGTTGAAGTCAGAATTATTAGCCCCCCTGAATTATTATCACCCCTGTTTATTTTTTTTTCCCCAATTTCTGTTTAATGGAGGGAAGATTGTTTCAGCACATTTCTAATCATAATAGTTTTAATAACTCATTTCTAATAACTGATTTATTTTATCTTTGCCATGATGACAGTACATAATATTTGACTTGATATTTTTCAGGACACTTTTATACAGCTTAAAGTGACATTTAAAGGCTTAACTAGGTTAATAAGGTGAACTAGGCAGGTTAGGGTAATTAGGCAAGTTATTGTATAAGGATGGTTTGTTCTGTAGACTATTGAAAAAAAAATAGCTTAAAGGGGCTAATAATTTTGTCCCAAAAATTATTATTATTATAATTTTTTTTAAAAATCAAAACTGCTTTTATTCTAGCCGAAATAAAACAAATAAGACTTTCTACAGAGGAAAAAAATACTATTAGACATACTGTAAAAAATGTCCTTGCTCTGTTAAAAAACATTTAGGAAATATTTAAAAAATAAGAATAAAATCAAAAGGGGGCTAATAATTCTGACTTCAACGGTATATATTCAGTAGGTGAGAGTTCAATGTGACCATTACCGCCAGAGCTTATACCGCCGCCGTTCTAAATTGCTGCCACTCTGTTTTTAGTGAATGACTGCAGTTTGTGAATAAGCCGCCAGGGGGCACAAAGGGACGGGGCGCGAACGGACAGAAATAGCCTATACAGCAGCTTTAAATATGCTACTGTGCTTATATATTAATTGGTTAACAATAATGTTGTATTAATCAATGTTAGTTAATGCGTTTACTAAAATTCACTAAGAATGAACAATAATTATGCAGCATTTATTCATTATTAATATAAAAATTACGCTTGTTAAAATTAGTTAAATTACGGCTTTAAAGAAATTAAACAATTAAAGGCTTTATTTTCATTAACAAAGATGAATAAATACCTCAACTAATTTATTGTTCATTATTTGTATATTAAATATATTAACTAATATTAACTAATGGAATCGTACTTTAAAGTGTTACAAATGTATTATTATTATTACTATTATTACTATTATTAATATTATTATTATTATTATTATTATTATATTTTTTATTATTTTATTAATCATTGTTGTTGTTATTATTATTAGAAGTAGTAGTAGTAGTAATTATTATTTTTAAAATAATTAAAAATAAATTATTGTTCGTTGTTATGATTAATAAATATTATCTTATTATTATTATTACTATTATTAGTATTATTATTATCAAATATTTGTTATTACTTTATTAATTGTTGTTGCTGTTATTATTATTATTATTTAAATAATTTAAAATAATTTATTGTTTGTTTTTATTATTAATAAATATGATATTATTATTATTATTATTATTATTATTATTATTATTATTATTATTATTGCTACATATTAAATTGTTAGAGTGATGAAAAAATGTCAATTAAATTTATATTAAAATCTCCTGCTACATAAATGTATAAATACATTTAATACATCTCACAAATCTCCACTGTTTAAAGACGATACCATTTTAATAAAGTGAGTACTTTAATATGCAAATACATAATATATTAACTTCTTAATACTTATATTAACATTTGTATGCATACTTATCTTTCAAAGAAACGGTATTGTAATAAATAACCTTGTTCACTGTACAATCAATGCACTTTGTGACACAAGTCAAAGCTAATTTGCACATACGCTCATATATAATTTCTGCATGTGTGTATGTGACACTAGTGCTAAACAGCCCAACCTATTTTCTGCCTGCCGACTGCCTTGTGCCATTAATAAAAACCACAGCAGCCGTGGCAGCCAATCAGAAGAGACAACATATTAGCGCTGCATGCAGAGCAAGTGTAAGAGTGGCTGACAACACTCCCACACATACACTCACAAACACACATACACACACAGATCATCGCTATGGCAACCCAAAAGGTGGAGGAATGCATTTGTTCTTTGTAGGTTTCTGACGCAGTTCATTCAATAGGGAAAAAAAAATGAACTTGACCTAATTGAAGGTCAGTTGTTTGCCATTTAGAGCCTTTAAGTCAGTGTTTCTCAACCATGTTCCTGGAGGACCACCAACACTGCATGTTTTGGAAGTCTCCTTTTTCTGTCACACCCATTACAGGTCTATCAGTCTCTGCTAATGAACCTAGGATCTAAATAAAGTGTGTTTAGTTAAGGAGACCTGAAAACTGTGCAGAGCTGGTGGTCCTCCAGGAACGTGGTTGAGAAACACTGCTTTAAGTGGATTGAATTGACAAGTGGAGAAAATATAATATAATATAAATATATTAAATAAAATATAAATAAAATATAATTTTGAACAAAAGTTTAGGGACTGGAAGAATATATATTTTTTCCTGTTTACATTTTTTTTATTAAAACAAAACAATATATAAAATATGGTAACACTAAAATAAGGTTGTATTGGTTAATTTATTTACTTAATGCACACTACCTGACAAAAGTCTTGTCGCCTATCTGAGTTTTAGAAACAAATAATAACTTGACTTCTGGTTGATCATTTGGTATCAGAAGTGGCTTATATGGAAGGTAAAGGCCTCTAGATTACACTAAAGTCCCTTTTAAGGCAAGTCATTTCACTCCGTGGCCATCTTTGAAACACCTCTCGGGAATTCAATTCAATTCAGCTTTATTTGTATAGCGCTTTTACAATGTAGACTGTGTCAAAGCAGCTTCACATAAATGGTCATAGTAACTGGATCAGGGTAGTTTAGTTTTTAGTGTTTAAGTTCCATTCAGTTTAGCTCAGTTCAGTGTGGTTTGAAGTCATTATGCTCAGGCATTCTGTTTGAATGGGTAAAACATCAAATTCTCCAAAATGACTTGCCAAGCTTACGATTACATTACATAATTCAAATAGCCAATAAAATTAAACAGCAACTGTCTATTTAGTTTAATTTCTAGTACTAGAAGGCGGTGCTTCATTCGTCATATTGACAAGTACACTTTTCCCTATTTAAAAGTATATGAGTGACAAGTCTTGTGTATTCTATAGTCTTTGATTACGCTTATTTTACCAAAATAAAACATAATCATGCCTTGATTTTGAATTTTTTAATTAGGACAGTAAGGTTTGACTTTGCTTATGAAAAGTATTGTCACTTAACAGAAATAATGTCCAGTATAGAATAAAAGTCATGCTGCAGTGGAAAAAGAGTTATTATTGTGTCTGACTCCCATTAACTTGGAGGACTGCATCCATACATCCAAGTCATCTGGAATGGCAAAGAAAGCGTTCTTGCAGGACTCCTATCAAGATTCTTTGAATTCATCTTCAGTTCCTCCATCTCACCCCAAACATGCTCAATAATGTTCATTTCTGGTGACTGGGCTGGCCAA